CGGCGTCGCACGAGCACGTAGTGGACCTGATACGAAAATCGGGGGAGTTGGTACGAATGACGGTGGTCTCGCCGGTGATCAGCCTTCCGAATTCGCAATCGGCAGCGCTTCTGCCAACTAGTCAACCGATTCAGAGACAGTACGCGACCCTCCCGCGGAAAGGTAACAACAACGTGGCGATAGGGGGTACGCTGGGCAGGTCACCCGCCCCAATGCCGCCCCGAAGAGATCCAAAGACGACTCTGAGCGTTGGCCGGGCGCGAGCAAGATCGATGGTGGCTGGATTAGGTAAGAAAAATTGAAAAGAAAAGAAAAACTGGAAATCGAAAGGAGGATTCGACGAAGAAGGTCGGATGATAAAACGACTTTTTCTCGTGGGGCGCAGAAGGTGGTGGGGAGAGAGACGATCGCGATGAAATCACATCGACGGGGGCTAAATCGAGTAGCGCGGAGTCTATCCATCTTCCCCAGCAGCCGTCGACCGGACCCAACACCGGACAAAACACACCGGTACAACCGAGAACGGCCAGTATCCGATCGAGGCCCACCTCCAGTAGGATCACCGCCGCGGAACTGGAGGTGCGTACGTATGAGGGAATCGNTTTTATCACGTTGCTCGCGATCACGAACGATCGATCCGCTTTCCTTTACTATTCCTCGAATGGCAGATTGCACGAGATTTACCGAGGCTTCAGCTTTGTCCTTCCTTTCTTCCAGGAACTATTTCAGCGGCAGCAAGGTAGTGCCAGTGGTCAGTACAGCTCGTCCATGATGAGCTCTCACTTTCAAACTGGCCAAGCTACCAAGTCGCATCCTTCCTCGCCTGCAAAGACCGGCAGGGTATACGCGAGCGTAGCGGAAATGAAACGCAAAGGCAAAGTAAGGAATACTTCCCCTCCAAATTTAAATCGCATATCTTCTTTCTTTTCGTCCGAAATTTAGCGAATCCTTGGTTACGATGATTTTTCTTCGATCGTACGAACGTGATGTAGATTTGGTGTAATCGCTGTAGAATTTGAACGAATTTCGCTCCGTTCCGTTGCCTTTTCTAAGGATGCAAGATAATGTCGCTTTCGAATCGGGAAAATCCTTAGAATCGGCAAACTCTCTCTTCGAACTTCGATCGCAACTTTAATCACCCCCCCCCCTCTCGTGATATTAACCTAACGGTAGATTTGTTGGTTGTTGATAACCCCCATATTCGTAGAATTATCTTTTGCCATTTGATTAATCGCTAACCCTTCCATCCTTTGTCGTTTAAACGTTATCACTTTATATATATACGACGCAAGAGTTACAAAGAATTTTTTCAGAGAGGTTAAAACTCCTCGATGCATGCTACCTAGCGGTGACGGTGGCTGTTTTTACGCATGTGTGTTATAGTTTTCTCGCAAGCCAGCACGAGTGTACAGCAAGGGGCGCTCCTGGTACGAGAGAGACAACGAGGACGACTTATATTACTGATCGAAAATACTTTGTTTCTAGCGCGTCCGTGACTTGCATGATTCCAGGTGACTAAGCCATTTGCTAATGAAAATCCGATGTTCGAAAGGGCATCGGATATCACTTTCAGCTTTATGAACACGCCTCGCAGAACTAACCACGTGTATCCATGAAATGAACGTTTTAATTACTTTGCTTACACTTTTTGCATGATCGTGCAGCTGCTTCCCCCGTATAATCGAACCTTACGCGCTTAATAAACCGATTTTCCATTTTGCGTCTTAAATCGTCGCGAGTTTTAAATACCGGCGGAATACAGCGCTGCTCGACGTCTCGAAAAAAAATATAAAAAAGGATAGACGAACCAGATAGACAAGAGAGAAAAGTATCGCGTGTAAATAGACACATGTTGATACGATGATCGAGTTACCTACAACCTACCTGCTTTTTGTGTTGCCGCTTTTACGAAATTAAATCGCGTCAATTGAAAACATGTACATAAGTATCTCGATTATTAAACGCGATTCTCGAATATCGCGTTACTCATCGCAGTGTAGTGTATCCAGCTAATGTATCCAGCTATTGTTTCCGTTTCGTTGAACGCTCTTCTTCTCTCTATCGACGAGTTGTAAATTCCAATAAGATTTGTCGGCTTGTTCACAGTTGAACTCGAGGGTGCGATTCTTCGGTGGATTGGGCGGTGGTTCCGATCTTCATCGAGACTTTCACAGTACGCCGGACTTGAATGTGCAGGTGCAGTCGTCCATTTTAGCTCCGAAAGGGCATAGAAGCCAAGAAGACGTGAACGCGTTGAATGGAAGAAACGGACTTCCACCACCGAATCATCCACCACCACCGCCACCTGTCGGCCAAGTAGTCAAAGTAAACGTGGGCGCTAATGTGCCGGATGTAGTCACACCGGCTTCTGTCTACGATAACATGGCTCATATACAGCAAGTCAAAGGTGTATATATATATATATATATATATAAACATATATATATACATACATATCTTCCACGTATTTCGACGCGTTGTTGACCGAATCGAGCGTTATTTATTTGGAATAAATTTCAATGGATGGATAATAATATGTATTTTTTCCCGCTCTATTCAGAATTGGCAGCCGCGACAGTGGATGGAAGTTATGGCGTGATGTCGAGTTTCCGACCTTCGAACAGCGCAAAACTGTACGCCTCGCCGGAAGACATGAAGACTGTGGGGTATCGTTCCCGTAGCCTGCCAACCCATACGACCCGTTGTCACGTGAGAAAGTCGCACAGCTTGCGCACCACCAACAACACGACGTTCAAACCGTTAAATAACCAACAGAACGTGAACAACGCGGTGAGCAACAACAACCAAGTGAACAACAATCAGTCGGCCAACAACCAATACGCCCAACCATTGAAGACGAATAGAAGTCACAGCACGATCGGCATCAGGGAGAGAAAGAAGAAAGGCATCAGTACCAGTTCCTCGATCACGAATCTCTCGTCCGTGGCTAACAACAACACCGGGAACACGGTGGTGGCGGCGAACACGGCACCACCGATCCCAGAGCCGGATTAC